TCAGTTTATTTATTTGGGTGATGAAGGTCTTATTTAGTGATCTGACCACTTAGTATACGTTATTTACTTGTCTGGAAATAGAGGCAATTTGGCTGACCATCGGAATCCATATCTACCTGGCTGATGAGATGGGATTTGGATTATCTACTTAGCTGGCCATCTAGGACGCTGTATAGTTGGCTACATCTGCTTGCGAAGGTTTCACTTTTACTTGTCTGACCATAGCATAGACCACGTTTACTTTCCTGACCACCTCGTAGACCGTATCTACTTGTCTGACCACTTCATAGACCGTATCTACTTGTCTGACTATCTTGAAGACCATATCTACTTGTCTGACCACCTCGAAGTCCATATCTACTTGTCTAACCATCTTGAAGACCACATCTACTTGTCTGACCACCTTGAAGACCACATCTACTTGTCTGACAACCTCGTAGACCACATCTACTTGTCTGACAACCTCGTAGACTACATCTACTTGTCTAACCATGTTGAAGATCACATCTACTTGTCTAACCACCTTGAAGACCACATCTACTAGTCTTACAATCTCATAGACCACATCTACTTGTCTTACCACCTAGAAGACCACATCTACTTGTCTTACCACCTCGAATACCATATCTACTTGTCTGACTACCTTGAAGGCATTATGTACTCGTCTTACCACCTCGAAGAACATATCTACTTCTCTGACCACCTCATAGACCATATCTACTTGTCTTACCAGCTTGAAGACCACATCTACTTGTCTCACCACCTCATAGACCATATCTACTTGTCTTGCTACCTCGAAGACTACATCTACTTGTCTGGCCACCTCATAGACCACATCTACTTGTCTGACTACCTTGTAAACCTTATCTACTTGTCTGACAAACTCGCAGACCATATCTACTTGCATAACCACACTTCTCTATCTACTTATCCAATCACTCCAAACTATCCCCTTGTCTTACAACCACCAGAAGTCATCTACTTGCCCAACTACCCACATCTTGTCTCTCTGTCACTTTTATCCATCTACAGCAATTTAATCAGCTACCTCCACTGTTTTATCCATGAATTAAGAGAAAATTTCTGAAATCCTTGTACCAGTTTCTCCACGAGCACAACAACAGTCTACTGGGGAAAATAAAATTTTCCTGCAATTTAAATAATAATAGAGAACTTTCGACCGATACGTTCGCCGAGTTTTGAAATACGCCGTCCTCAAAGGATTAATCTACTTCGTATGGTACACAAACCAGCAGTTTCATTTCGCGGGGACATCGTTGTATCTCTAAGGAACGTAAACACATTTTCCGACGTTCACGTCAAAAATCCATTAGTGCAAGTCAAGAGACCTCGAGGTACCGACTTTCCTGGGAAGATTCTTCTCCTACGACATAACTCCTTATTTAGCAGTAACGGAGCGGTAAGAGACGAGTGTCTGCTCATACTTTTTTCCGCTCTTTATGAAACCTGAGAATCGAGGGCGACGCATGGGACCCAAGAAGCCTCACACGATTCGTCTTACTGCATCTTTCATCACGTTACGTTTTTCGAGGTTTAATTACCATAAAACGGAGCTTATGCAGGAATGTTGTAAACGGTAGATTGTTTAATACGGTGGATAACTGGAAGGTTCCCTGCAGATGAAGATGTCAGAACTCGTCTAACATGAACAAAGTAGCAACCCAACAAATCCATTCCCAACTTCCGTGACCCTTAACCTGCCCCGATTAATCTCCGCAAACGTACTCTGACAACCAAAAGGCTTGGTATATCTGGCAGCTGGTCGAAACTAATCGTCCAGGAAACGTTCGGACAGATTCCCGGGCTGTTCATTCCGTCGGCAAAGGTAATCCGCGCGAGAAAAAAGGGGAAACAATAACAAAATCTAACTAGTGCCATTCAACATAGCACGAAGTAACCTCATGGTACAATCTGTGCAGCCAACGAACCATCGATTTCGAGAAAATAGAATGCAAAAATTGGGAAAATTGCTCCGGAATATATTAAGTATTCGTCAGCAACCATTTGATCATGCATTTCGTGAATTTCAGTGAAGTGGACCGGTTGCATAACTTCAGGGGCTTCTAATGAACCTTCGGTTGAAGCATGAGATTCTACATCGTGGATGTTGGTCGTCGTTAACTTAGTAAACTTCTATGATGAAAAGTGTCTTTTAAAAAATAATAGAGAAGAAAATTGAATGGGGCTACTTCGCGGTATTTTTGTTGGGATTAAAACGTGCGAGAGAGAAACTTTTTGTATGGAGCTTAATCGCTTGATACGAGCTGGTTAATCGTATAAGTGTGGCGCGGAAAAAAGGAAATGGGGGGATTTCATCCTATAAGCTTTCGAGAGCAGCATCTCCCAATCTATCGATCCCGAAACTCAAGGCTCGAGCGCTCGAAGTTTCGTAATACCGTGGACGTGTGCGTTCAACCATAGAACCGAACGGGAAATCGATGGCTTATAGAAAAGGGACGAGGGACAATGTTGTACAATGTCGTCTGACCACGTGCAAACGTAATTGAGACACTGAACACCTTACTATAATTCTACAATTAATAATTTTGCAATTATTAACATTTGTCAACTGCATATTTCATCAATAATTTATGGAATCTCGCTTCCCGTTTATTTAACAATTGCACGTTTTATACGATTACCTGAGAGAATCCCGTCATTTGACATTTTAATGAATTATTTGTACCATTCATTGCACAAAGAAAGGAATTATCTGCAGCAGCTGAAGCGCAGTTAATGAGGAAGGAATTCGATAAAAACTTCGACCTAATTCTACATGTCTGTCCACCTATGATGGTAATCTACTTTTATGACCACCCGCGGCGCGAATCTATCCGTCTCGACATCTAACTACCTGCTACTTGTCGGACCGCATGCTGGGTTGTTCTACAGGTCTGACCACCTACTGTCACATCCACTTTCTCGATCGACAGTTTATGTTCGAAGTTCTAGTGGTATTCTACTTGTCTTGTTGTTCAAGTTTAAACTGCCAATATCACAAGTTGTATTCTTGTTGGAGAAAGCTGAGGGTGCTTTTATTTTATTTGTTAGGTTATTGATTGTTTTTATTTGTTTGTATGATGTGGTGAATATTTATTTGTTTGATTAGCTGGTTCCTAGCAACTTATTTTATTACCTGGTTATTATCTAGTGATCTGGATAGATCGTCCCTATCTACTTGTTTCAGGGTCTGGTCCTTATCTACTTGTCTGACCACCTAGTCCCTACCTATTTATTTGATTGCCTGATACCTATCTACTGGACTAGTCATTTCGTCCCTATCTACTTGTTTGAACATTTGCTCCTTATCTACTTGTCTGGTCACCGGGTGTCTCTATCTACTTGTCTTGTCACCTGGTGTCTCTATCCACTTGTCTGGTCACCTAGTCCCTATTTACTTGTCTGCTCACTTGCATACGATACTCTTGTCTGATCACTTGTCTCCTATTTCCTTGTCTGATCACTTTCCTCCTACTTACTTGTCTGCTTACAAAGTCCCTATCTACTTGTCTGGTCACCTAGTCCCTACCTACTAGTCTGGTCATTTTGTCCTTATCTACTTGTCTGGTCACCTAGTCCCTACCTACTAGTCTGGTCATTTTGTCCTTATCTACTTGTCTGGTCACCTAGTCCCTACCTACTAGTCTGGTCATTTTGTCCTTATCTACTTGTCTGGTCACCTAGTCCCTACCTACTAGTCTGGTCATTTTGTCCTTATCTACTTGTCTGGTCACCTAGTCCCTACCTACTAGTCTGGTCATTTTGTCCTTATCTACTTGTCTGGTCACCTAGTCCCTACCTACTAGTCTGGTCATTTTGTCCTTATCTACTTGTCTGGTCACCTAGTCCCTACCTACTAGTCTGGTCATTTTGTCCTTATCTACTTGTCTGGTCACCTAGTCCCTACCTACTAGTCTGGTCATTTTGTCCTTATCTACTTGTCTGGTCACCTAGTCCCTACCTACTTGTCTGGTCATTTTGTCCTTATCTATTTGTCTGGCCACCTAGTGTCTCTATCTACTTGTCTGTCACCCAGTCCCTTTCTACTTGTCTGCTCACTTACATACAATACCCTTGTCTGATAACATGTCTCCTATTTACTTGTCTGACCACTTTCCTCTACTTACTTGTCTGCTTACATAGTCCCTATCTACTTGTCTGACCACCTAGACGATATATACTCCTCTTATTACTTGATCTCCACCTACTTGTCTGATCACTTGGACCCTGTCTACTGGTCAGATCACCTTGTCTTTATCTACTTGTCTGACCAATTTTACCTGAACCACTTGTCTGAACTACTGCTACCTTATCTAACAGTTAGTTGCATCTACAGTTAGTTAGTTCTATCTACTTGTCTGACCAATTGTACCTAAACCACTTGTCTGAACTACTGCTACCTTGTCTAACAGTTAGTTGCACTTCATTTACTTATACGAATACTTGGTCCTGTTTTTCTTATCTGACCACCTAACATTATCTAATTAGTCTGATTTCGATGATCATACTTTATTGACCTGCTTAAAGTACGTTCTTTGCAATCTGATCTTAAAAGTCTGACCATGTTTCTACAATCTTTGTGTCTAACCATGTCTCTAATCTTGTATGAGCATGATGTATATATATTGATGTATATATATTGCATATGAGTATATCGATTTATATGTCGAATTAAACATAATATACGTAAATGAAAAAATCCTACCTTCTGCAATGTGTAGGTGCAACAGGCCAGCTCCTCCTCGTCCTAAGTATAATAGCAGGCCCTCTAGCGTGGCCCACGACAGGCGCCGAGGTACGTCCCTGGTTCCTTTTTCCCCAGAGATGACCACCGCCGCTGCCAGGGCCGCTTCCGGTCCCGGGTATACCCGGATGAGGCCCGCTCTCGCTACACGCGCGTCTCGAGAACATCTCGCGTTTTCTGTCGTCGCACTTCATCATTTTTCCCTCGTTGCGTTTCCTCTTTTGCTCGTGGAAAGCCAACGAGGAAAAGAGGAGAACCCTCAGACAAGGGGAGAAAGTAACCGACGCTTGCCCCACTGGGAATCAACTTTTGCACCGAGCTCTTTTTCTTCGTAACGTTTCTTCTCGTAAAAGAACACCTTCCTGAAGTTTCTTCCCTTTTTCCTCCAGGAATTTCACGAATCGATGCCGGAGCCTTGTTACACTTTCTTAATTATTTTATACGATTATATCTTATACGTTTTATAGATTCTCAGTACTGTTTAATTGACTTTAAAGAGGTCCTGTTGTACATGTCTTCGATTTTGCTTCTCTTTAATTTTAATTAATTTTCTTTCAGTTTCATTATGCGCTACTTTGAACCATCAGTTTGTGCCCATTGTTCTTCGTCTCCTTTTTTTATTTATCCCCTGAATTATTTTCTTTTCTCAATTATATGTATATTATTATTTATTTTGTACGCTGAAATTCTCTGGTAAAAATTATGATTTCTTGACTGACAGATTCAGGATCAGTTTTATGTTGCCTCTTGAAATGGATTTAATTTCAGTAAGCTGTTTAATCCGTTACTGTCGCGTTAACAGTCGCTTCGTTTTCGACTTTTATCACGATTGTGGCCCCCACGGGAGAGAAACTGAGATAAAATGGGTCCGCTCGTAAAATCCCTTGGTTGTCCTGTTATTTCTAACAAAGCGGGATTTTTTTTCTTCTCAGCGATAAATCCTGCTTCTTCGCTGGCTCTCGAAACGTTCGTTCTCGTTCCGTCGGTAGAAAAAGTCTCAAAGAGAGGTAAAAAAGCGATGTGTTGGTCCGTCGAAGAACAGTGTAAAATTTGTAAAGAAGAAAAATAGTGCTCGATCTATAGAATTATCTTAAGTGCTATTTGGGTGCTGGATTTCCAAAAGTGTACGTTCAAGTATCTCTTTCAATAACTAGATTATCAAGAAGAAGAATACTGGATTTAATGTTAGATCATTAGTATTTACAACTTTCGTTTCACTATCACACTGTCGTAATTTGTAAGGTACCGATTCGTTAGTTGAACGTGCAGTTTGCTGGGTCACTTTCCTCCTCCACTTCCGGTTCCATCTGAAACTGCAGAACCATTCTTTTCGTGTGGATTCGATTGCGTAACCTCGAGACCTTGCCACGCTATGAAATCTGCCGAATATATTTAACAGTAGACATCCATGATTTTTCTTAGAAAGTGAAAGAAGTTCTCATCACTGTTTCTACCAAAACAAATGTAAGAAGTTTCTTGAAAATGATTATTATAAAGGAGTCCAGTCATTCAAGTGGTCTATCGAACGTGTGCACTCCGCTTTGTGGCCACACAGGAAGATGGCCCCGTTTCAAAGGGGGTCGACTCAATTGGCCTGCAATCAGGGATGCAGCCAGAAACGCAACACCTCAACAAGTGGTTGAATTCCTGACTGGAATTCCTTGGCAAAGTAATCACGGCGAAATTCGCGAGAGATTCGGGGAAACGGCAAAGTCGATTTGGCGCATGGTGGAGGATTAACTCTCAATTTGGTTTATTCGATGTTACTTTGACGCTAGATTCGATCAGAATTTGCATAGAGTGTGGATTCAGTCGTGTTACGGTAAATTGGCTGGGCTGTGGCTGCAAATGAGGTAGTGGCCGGCTTGAAATGCTGTTGAATACGGTTGATCGAAAGGGGCACGTGAAAGAAATGAGGATAAAAATTTCAACCTTGGAATTACAGTGAAGAGTTATATAGCTTGTTATGTAGCTGCGACAGATTTTACATACGTGACGTCATAATATTTGATTATAGAATGAGTGATTATATAATATATTACTATATAATTCGCGGTAATAGAATACATGAGTATACGGATGTCAATTCACGAGTTGGCACGCGATCAAAAACAAAGGAAGCCAGAATATGGGTATTGGGGAGTAGGTTAATCTGGGGAAAACCCTAGGAAGTTTTAATATTGACATTTCCTGGGAACTGTAAGTTAGGATACCCAGTTAACATAGTTTCTAGAGTCTTTATAGGTCCAGACTACCAGATTCCCTACATATCTGAAAAATTGGGGATTTTGCAAGATTTCTATCTATGAATTTTGATATCTAGCACTAGTGACGCACTTATGACGCACTCGTGATGCGCTCTTGATATACTCGTGACACACTCGTGACGCACACTTCGTAGGCTAGTAACACACTCGTGACGCACCCTTCATAGGCTAGTAACGCACTCGTGACGCATTCTTGAATACTAGTGACGCACTCGTAACGCAATCTTGATATACTAGTGACGCACTCCTGACGCACACTTAATATACTAGTGACGCACTCGTGACGCACTCTTGATATACTACTAACGCACTCGTGACGCACTCTTGATATACTAGTGACGCACTAGTGACACACCAGTTGACGTACTAGTGACGCACTGGTGACGCACTAGTTGACGTACTAGTTGACGTACTCATGACGCACTTTTGATACACTAGTGACGCACTGGAGACGCACTCTTGATATACTAGTGACGTACTCTTGATATACTAGTGACGCACTCCTGACACACTCTTGATGTACTAGTGACGTACTCGTGACGCAAACTTGATATACTAGTATAGGACACCTAAACTTCACCATAGTCCCCAGAGTCTCCACAGTTCCAGACCCCTAGATTCCCTATATATCCACAGTTTCAGTCTCCAGTGCCAAGTTCGCTAGTATCTCCACAGTCCACAGTCCCTCGGATCCCCAGGTCCCACATCCCCACATTCTCTACAGTTCCTGAATTCCCCAGATTCTCACAGTCCTCGGAATCGCCATATTTCCTAGCTTCCCAGAATCCCTACGTTCCCTCGGATCATCACAGTCTCTACTGTAGACAAGCCAGGAGTTGGCGCGTAGGTCGAGCCAGAGTAAAAGAAGCCACTCGCTCCACCTA